CACCGCCACAGGATTTTCTTTCTTGGAATTAATGGTATTAAATTGGAAAACAAAAAAGAAACTAGAATTTGGGGCATACAGTTTGGTAAATAACAGATCTGTTTCAAAAGAAGGTTCCAACAATTCAAACACTTAAAATACTCAATGTCTCGCAAGAACATGATAAACGACATTTTTTCACTTAAAACAGATTATAACATGCCCACACCAATAATATTTCTAGGGTACCAATAAAGAACAAATATCTGCCACACATTTTCTCAGGCTATAAGCCCCGTTAAGATCCAATAACCGAACTAAGAGTCATCGCTCAGGGTTGGCACTGGGCCTTTTGTCAAAGACGATCCGATTGAAGGTCACCTAGTTGTTTTTAAGGGTCTTGTTCCTTACAAATCGTTGAGCAACTAAGAGTCATCACGCCCGCCCAACCCGGATCTGTTTCCCTAGTGGCCAGAGTCACCAACACACAGTGGAAAATTCCCTGGACTAAAATACACACATGGTCCGCAAAATCAATAACACATTAGTTTCGCAAAACATGGTGGTTCCTCATTATAGAACATGAGACCAAAACAAAATAGTTTACCGTATGCAAGTTCACACAATGTTTTAAGAAATAATTTGATTAAATTGATAATATAATAATTTATCAAGAACCAGTTAGTCTTCAAACAACATTTAATTTTTCCAACAGTTCAGGGTAGGGGAACATTTAAAAAATATGTAGCATGAAAACTACTCACCTGAAACGCAATAATATAATCCCTCGAATAGAGTGTAAAAAAGCCAACTAGTGGTCTGAACCAAGTATAAAAACTACGCGTCACAACTAATATTAAAAAACTAAAAAATAGGAAACTAAGTAACCTCAACTAAAAGCACTAACACAGCTCAACCCAACTCACCGTTACTTCTTAAAATATTAACCTAAGTTCATTTCTTCAAGGTCTAAAAATCACCCAAACATAGATTCCGATCGAAAATTAACTAAAAATAACTTTAAGAGAAAACAGTGTTTAAACAAGTTTCCCCAATCTATTCGCTACTTTGAAAATTACAAAACCCACTCCCACGCTATTCGAAAAATTCCAATAACCTCCAGATATAATCTATATATCTTAAGTTTCAAGAACCAATCTGGTTCACTGATTGCTATCCAAAAAAAAATTTATTTTCTAAATTTATATATCCAAACAGTTGTTTTCGCCAGCACTTTAAAGAAATTGACGGTTCTCCTTTAATATACACGAGCATCAATGCAGGCCAAAAACTATGAAACTAGACTCGTCACCGGTTCTAATGACAACTAATTTGATAATTTTTGGATTTAATTAACCCAAAGAAACAACAATCCGAATTTACTGTTTCGGAACTGGTTTTCCGGACAATTTGAATACCTCAATTATCATGGATTCGACTCCCAAAACTTATGAAAA